TTCTTTTTTTTTTCTTTTCTTTTTTTTCTTTTCATTTCTTTGATCTGGCTAAGTCTAATATATTTCAAGGACTTTGACTACCAAGGAAGAGGAACTTCGGACATGTTCGGAACCTCAAGAACCCCCTCCTTCCCCTGCTAAAAACAAAACGCACGATTACAAAGGATCTAGGATGTAATTAGACCTTTAATTTTCGATTTTTAGAGACACAAGCATCCTATCTGATATCATTTGTTACCACATTCCAACCAACATATATCAGAGATTATTTTATAGGCCTGAGAGGTCAATTTGAATTAAAAACGTAATAGATATCATGATATCACTTAGTGACATTTAGTCTACCACGTTTGATTTTATCAGTCAATGCAAGGATTCTTTTAAAAAGTTGGCCTGAAAATAACTTTTTGGAGATTCTTCTCACTAGTAAGTTAGTTCATGTGCAAAACACTTCGATAAGTATACTTTAAGTAGGTTCTTTTCTTTTTAACATTGCATAAAAAAACTTTGAATTATCGGTGTTAGGTCAAATTTAAGTCTCAAGAAATTTTGTATATTTTGAACTAGACGCCCTGTACTAGACCGTGAGTTCGGCTATTTTGTAAAAACTGAATAAAAAMTATATTTTTTTCTKGTTCGATATTTCTATCGTTTTGAAGTCGTTGCAGAGAGCAGTCAAAGAATATCGTATCGTGTGAATAAACAGTTTTCAGTGAACAGTACATTAATCAAAGTGAAGGTAACGCATTCTTGCTTTCACTATTAGAAGTAAAAAATATGATTAGACAGAATATAACATCATAATCTTATCGTTTTTAAAACCTTTCACTCGTTCTCCTATACGCGTACCCCCTAATATCCTGTCTTTCTCAATTTTCAAAAATAGCTAGCCCGACTTCACGCTCCAAGAGCGTCTAGTTTTTTTTTAAATTTCCTGCTAATCTTTTTTAAATTTTCTGCTAAATCACTCTTTACACACCAAATCAAGGTACTGGTTGTTGTTTATGAATACTGTACGATTCTGTCATTTAACTCGCATCTATGCCCTGGAAGCCACGCCTTGAAACCATTATGACTCGTGATGTGAAGTCAAAAGCGAAAGAACACTGTGTGTTGATGAAATCTGCAAATTTAATACACCACCGGCCTAACGTTAATTGCTTTTCATTCATAAATAAGCGCAAGGACTTAGCTCCGCAGTTAGTCTTGGCCTTCTTCTAGATTACGTCTGGTGCCTTTTTGTTGAGAGGTCCGATGTAAGCCATGTGGGTTTGGTTCTGTGATGTCATGCGCGTGTTGTGTGAGTACAAGGATACTTAAATGAAAATAGCTTTTTTCATTAGCCTTTGGTGTGGGGCAATTCAAGTTACCTTCTCTCTTCCCGTGGGCCGGTGGTCTAAACATTGTTGTAAATATACTCATTTCAGGAAACTAGTCCTCTGATAATGGCGGAGGAGGTCTGGCACGGGCTAAGTATTAGAACTTTTAACAGCTCTTTGTAGATAGCCGACTAACACTACCTCTGGTTACCSATTGAATACGCGGCAGAGCTATATGGCACAATATTGAATAAATAAAGTATCACTGTATTTACCCATACACATCATATAGGTTGAATATTTTCAGAACAAATACAAAAACATTGTTGAATTCATACGTTGATGAATATATCGTTACTATGGTTACTAGTGCTCACTGAATTGCATGTGGTAGAGATAATTTATTCCCATTTCAATTCGTCTCGACCACAAGTGGCCAAATATTTAATCGAACTCTGTCACGATTTTTGCGTGTAAACTCGGGAGGTCAATTTGTAATAAATTATGCAAACTAGCAGCCGATGAGATTTGATAATAAATAGGTGTCCGTTTGAGCTCATTAAATATTCGTCATCCAACTGCTGTCTGTTTGGCATTTGACTAAATGAGAAGAAGTAATTATCGAAATCGGGCAAGTTTTGACGACATTAGTATATTCGTGATCGATATCCGGATCTATTTTCGATACGATTTCGAGAACCGACGAATCCTACAAAAGAGTTACAAAAATCGATATAGAAATTTGATTCACTGAATCGTTACAAAACTGAACAAAAATGGCGACTTTGGGTTTAATTTATTGCACAAACAAAACGTGTAAACAACCCTTATCAGACTTCATCCGACATCCAGTCGTCATAGAAACGTGACGTCAAAGGTCAATCTTTCTTATTCACTCCYCACGCATGCGTTAATTCACGGATTACGATTGGTTGAATGGATCACGTGGCGTGATTGGCATTTGTTATAGCACCTGGTTCTTTGTCATTTCCTTTGCTGAGCTTATCACGTTGTATTCCAACCATTTTCCATATTTTATTTTCAAAGTTTCGACCTCAAACCAGAATAATTGTTACTATTGTGATTTACTCGAGGGTAAGCGCGGATTGAATTATGTCTGGTCCTCACCAGCCTACAATTCTTCCTAAGCCTATGAATAGCTACCCGGCATTGGCACCCAAGGCAAATATATCGGGCCATCACACTAACGGTGACAACCTTGATGCCGGGGTTTCTCAAACCAAGCGAGAAATTGGCAATGGCCAAGAGTCAAGGTTACTTGGTCAAAAATATCTCTCGGACGAAGCGAATCAAAGGAGAACTAGCCAGAGGAAGAGGGCAAAAGTATGTRCAATTTTTAGTTTATTAATTTGTAATTCATGTTATGCAAGAATATTGAATAATTGTCGGTATTATGACAAGGATTGGTCTGCTTCGGCCACTTTACTATTTACCAGGAACAGATGAACTTCGTCAAGACGTCGAGGCAGAGGGCAGTTCTGACCCTAACACAAATTACTCAACTGTCAATGCAAACAAACTTTTTATTCTGACTGGCTGTCCGAAGTCACATGGGTTAGGTAGCGGAAAAAATCTTATTTGCCAAAAAAATTCTTGTCAAAATCTAGGTCTGTAGACAGAGATTTTGGCAGATTAAARAAGCATTCAACACTGCTGCGGATGTAATTTTCGACTGCATTACATCAACAACGTCACATAACAATACGATATTGTTAGGTGAAGCATGCTTSATGAAATACATCACACAGACAATTTCATTCGCTTCTAGTTGATCTGTGACGATCAAAACAAACTAGTACAACGAAAAAAGTCATTTTCGACGGTTTCTGTTCCCTTTTCGTTTCAAATGATTTTTTCTTTAATTTCACTCTGAAAGGGTGTTTACATATTTTACTATGCATGAGCGAATTTCGAAGCAAGGCATGGCGGGAGTTTTGACGATGTTGGCAGACGGGGGGAAGCACTCGGACTTCAACGTAAATATATCCGTGAAAACCCCCTTGCTTCCTGCTGAAACTTAACAACTGAAAACTAGGGATTCTGCAGACTGTTGATAGGATTACAAGGACTTTAAATCGGTGGCTGGGAAGCGCAAAAGATCAAACATTAGGATGGAATATATGAAGGTTTGTTTCGAACGTGAAATCACATGTTTTATMGCTCTTGTGTGTCCTGACAAAAACCAACAATATTGCTTCATTTTTACAGCAATCTAAAACACCTTCKTATTATTTTGACTRATAAATGATAGGTTTTTTTCTTTGAAGGTTGTCATACGAACGACCGACAAAGCAAATTTTAAACGCGTTTTGCGGACTCGTCTCGCGATCGATCTAAACGTTAAAATTGACATTTTGTACATTTTGTTATCATTTGGTACTACGGTTTTATGGATCGAAATTTTCTTTTGTAGTAGTTACCACTCTAGGTCAATGTCTCAGGAGAATATAGTTTGACGCCATGGGATTATTTGATCACAACAATGGAGACTTCTGGTTCGCCTCGATCTCGTCTGCAAATTACTTGTATTTGCTAATTTATTTTGCTCCTAAATTGATAGTTTCCTTATTTAASACTTGTTGTATTATCTACAATATTTGGTGGATATTAATCTATTGTCATTCATTTCACAAGTACATTGTCGAAGGCAAAATGGACTCGGATAGTTATCAATGTATTTTTACGACAATCCAAGGTACATTCATGGCTATTTTGTTTGTTGCAATTCATTTTTGAAAAATGTACTCTAAGATTGTATTGTATTTTCCCGAAAAATGGATTAAAAGCGAGAAAATCTTAAGATATAGAGTTTGTATCATTTGACAGAGTCAATTGCTGTCGACAAGTTTCGTAAACCTTGATGAATCGTGTATTCTCCTCAAAGCAATGATTCTAAGATTTGATCGTGTTACGTTAGTGAATGCTACCTTCTTGTTAATATTACTACGACTTGGCGATTTTCTTAGCGAAAAAATACACGTGTTTGGACAGGGACGGCACCTGTGAAGTACTTGTAAAATATCCCAGCACGTGGGCCTATCAATGCAAGTCCAAAGAACATCGAAATTCCAACCTGAAAATAGCTTTGTTTTTCCAAAGGCCCTATGCGAATGGTTCGATTGTTATTTTCTTGATTTTCCTATACATGGGTGTATATAATGATTATAATGATTTTAGATGATTATTGGGGTGAGAATTGTWATCCATATTTCTCACCATACCGTTTCTGTTTATTTTTTGTGTTTCATTATTATGCTTTGAAATTCTCAATTTATAATGTCAAGTTTGTAATATCAAATCCCGACAATCTTGTAATCTTTGTCTGGTTGCATTGGTGTTGCAGTAGTCCAATATTTTTAAAGGCTATTCTAGCTTAATTTAGGTTGAATTAGGTGTGTTGTTAACATTATTTGTTTGTTTTATTGTCTGCTCTGAGATTTTTTTTCAAGTGAGGCTTGTTTTATCTCCATCACAAACAATCATGTAGGTTGTAGTTGTSAGTGCTGCGTTTACATGTGTGTCCCATGACACTTGGTGTCAGGGAAGTGAATGCTATATTTAGCTAGTGATGTATTTTGGTACATGAGCACTAATTKAAATAAGAGAATTAGTATATTTACTGTGTAGCGCTCTCCAGTGGTTATTTGTAATGAAGAAAATTTAACAAAAACAAAACTAACTACTAAATAACAGGAAATACTAAACAGAAGATTATTATTGTAGACCTAACCAACTAATGCATTGCATTTAAAAACATTTCTTCCTTTAACCCTTTAATGCCCAAATTTCTGGGGAATTTTTAACCAATTTAAAGGTCAAAAGTGTAAAAAAACAATTTCAGCACTGATTTCACAGTTGTCAAGGGAACTGATGCTGATTTACATAGCCACACATTCAAACTCTCGAGGGATGCCTGCTAAGTTTTTGCTTGTGTCTTTGAATAGCGAACAGCTCGTTCAAAACACNAATGTCCTAAACAACACACTCAAGACGATGTTAGCACCTTGATCACTTAACAGAGAAAATGGAATTTTTTAAAAGAGTGGTCGATATATCGTACGAATTCGTACGATTGGGCATTAAAGGGTTAAGCATTGTGATGTATGTATTCTAAAACATGCAATGGGTAGTTCCAGAAAATATCCGTACCATACAACAGGCTGCATCGATTTTCAACCCCTCTCTCCTTACGAAATTCCAAAATTGAGCATCCCCCTCCTAGGAATTCCAAAACTTGTTTTAGCCCCTAGGAAATTAGTTTGCCCCCTTGAATGAGAATAAATATTGTCTCTAAAACAAGCACTGTTTTTGAGGACGCAATCGYAAAACTGATCGTTCGAAAACAATGCATAATCTAGCTTCGTGGAAGTGCTTAAAAAACACGCAAAAATCATTACTGTTAATTTGGAATTACTTATCTTTTACCTTGTATAGTTAACTTCTATTAACAAATAAGTGTTTGAACAAATTAGACTCTTAAGAAAAAAAAATGAACTACGCATGGTGTTATCTGCGACCAAGACACCATTAATTTCTGTCAAGAAACCGCTAACCAAATGTTGTTTACAATCACCGATCACTGACCCAGGGATGCTCTAAACTTTGTTAAAATTTCTCGAAAATAAGCTGTGTTGCTTTCAATGTACATATTTTGCATTCATATACAGTTTTATATGTTTTTCAAATGGTTTTATAGTGATTTTTTCGACTCTTAGATCATGATCAACGCCGGGGATCAATGTAAGTCCCAGTTAAAGGTCGTTCTCTATACTTTCTATACTTCCCCCCCCCCCTCCCCTCTGGATTTCTGAAATGCCACCCATCGTATGGTACGGATATTTTCTGGAACTACACAATTTAGGGTTGGTTAGTGTGTTTGGAAAGCCAATGGGTTTCAGTCCCAAAGGGGAGTGTTTCACCCTGGTAAAGTTATATTTCCTACTTTTTTTACCTGATCCTTGATATATACTTGTGTATGAATATGTTTATCCTATCATGGTGCCATTTCTTTCTGTTTACAAACTTATTTGACATCGCTAACTTTCTATCACAGGTTGAGTACACAGAAGTTGATGAAAAACTAGCAACATTGACAGATGATGAGCTCAGTGATGATGAAATTGCTATGAAGGTATTTGAACCGCCTCCAGAGCCCAAGATTGAGGAGGTACCCGAAGAAGAAGAAGACGAGGAGGATGATATCCCACAAGGCTTAGATGGTGCTGCTTTTAGGAGCAGGTTACCAAGCGATAAGATGACTTCACAAGAGGCGTCTTGTTTCCCAGACATCTCTCAAGGTCCTCCTCATATACAAAARCAATTCTTGTACATTAGAAATAGACTGGTAAGAGAGGTTCTTCATTTTTAGACTCTCGTTTTATTCTTTATATTTTTACCCTAATGTTTTGTTGAATTATTTTCTGTCAATTTTTTTCTTTCATCTTGTTGTTTTTCATTATTTCCAATACAAGATTTCACAAGGATTGCTGTTTATTTATCTGCAATGTTTTTAATTCCCTCCTCTCTGTTGTAGTTACAACTGTGGCTTGATAATCCTAAACAGCAAATCAACTTTGAAAATGCAATGTTACAAATGGAACCTCCACACAATAGTAAGTTTTTCAAAGCTGTCACCTACTAGTACCATGAGACAAGAGAAGAGTTTTCCTCTCACAGATTACTATAGCACCTACTAGTACCATGAGACAAGAGAAGAGTTTTCCTCTCACAGATTATTATAGCACCTTCATTGAAAGACCATTTGGGAGCGTATTTTGGGATTGTACTGTTGTATTTTGCTCAAGCTCCTTGTGTTTTGTCATGTGGCTGTGTTACAATCAATTAAATGAAACCATGAGCACTTTAAATATATGTAATGGAATGAAAATATTGTCATAACAGCCATATTTAGGCCAACAAACTTCACCTGTAACAATAAAAAGATCAGTGTTTCTTTAAATTTTCCTCTTGCTTAAACAATGTTTTGATTCTTGTGTTATTTTTATCAAAGAAGTGAAGTCACAAAATGCTCTTTGAATTCCAGACATATTTTTGGTACCTATTGTTTTTTTTTCTTCAAACGACTGTAATGGTTTTGTTGAATGAAAGACTGTTCAGCAGGCAAGTGATATGTGGATTTGTTTGTAGATGATCCAAGACTTGTCCAAAGAGTTCACTCGTTCCTTGAAAGATATGGCTCAATAAACTTTGGTGTCTATAAGATGGTGAAGATGCCGCAGCCATGTAAGTCAAAACACCAACAGCAACAAACAAACCACAGCAACAAACAAACCACAGCAACAAACAAACCACAGCAACAAACAAACCACAGCAACAAACAAACCACAGCAACAAACAAACCACAGCAACAAACAAACCACAGCAACAAACAAACCACAGCAACAAACAAACCACAGCAACAAACAAACCACAGCAACAAACAAACCACAGCAACAAACAAACCACAGCAACAAACAAACCACAGCAACAAACAAACCACAGCAACAAACAAACCACAGCAACAAACAAACCACAGCAACAAACAAACCACAGCAACAAACAAACCACAGCAACAAACAAACCACAGCAACAAACAAACCACAGCAACAAACAAACCACAGCAACAAACAAACCACAGCA